CACCTTATTGGAAATTATTCCTTCTTGTTTCTTAGGTTGAATTTTTTACAAGTACAGAAAATATTCTGAGAAATGCAGTGAGGCAATTCCATCACTGTATCATGGACTGTATGCTCACACCTAGCTGAAATGGGGTGAACACTCTTCCTGGCATCTTGACTCAATAAAGTGAGATGAACGAGGCTGATGCTCACTCACATAAAGACGTGCACAGTAAAACAACAGGAGAGCTGGGGCCACAGCTCAGTACAAGAATATAAGCCTAGCACGCACACACAAATCAATCCATCAATCAATCAGTAGCACAAAAATGCATTAAAAAAGGACTTCATTACTATAATCTTTGATTATATACTATTCACAGTTCCTGTGGTGTGTGTGTGTGTGTGTGTGTGTGTGTGTGTGTATCACACAGAACATCCCAAACCATCTTATTTAACTATACACCCACTTCCCAGATGGCACCCTCCCATAGCCTCCCTCCCTCCACTAGAGCTCTTATACTCTGATATCCCTGCTACTGCCTGCTGTGTTGTTGGCACCCCAGCCATTCCCCACTACTTGCCCTTCTGGTGAATCTAGTCAGCCTATCTAGAGGTCTTTGTTTTAGGAGGGTCAGTGGTTCCTCATCTAGCAGCAGTCAGTTGTCAATATTCCTTTAGATAAATTTGGGTTCATTTTCCAATTTTCCCAGTTCTATGCTGGGTTACTATCACCCTGGCCAACAACTCAAAAGAAGGTATTGCCTGTCTGGCATTGTTGCTTATTATGTAGCCTTTAGCTATGCATATGGATTCTTAAGAAATTATATTGGTCCCTTTAATCTTTAGTTATACTTTCCTTTTGGGTGTTTAAGGCCATATAGTTGGCCCAGATAAACCAATTAATTTTTACTCTTAAGGTCCTTTAAGGATCTGTTCCTCAGGGTTCACATGGGCTTGAGAGGAGCCCCTGGCTCCTTTTTTTTACCAGTTCCGCCTATGTGAAGACAAGTCAAAGGTCCTGCTCTACTGTGGTTGGCTTCTCTTGGAAGCATGGAGAAAATGATTCCTCTGTGTTGACCCTCCATTTTGTAGACTGGACACTGGTTCAAGTCCATCTGGTAGGGTCTCCTCGGCCTTCTTGATCAAGAGGACAGGTGACCCACAACAGTTACAGGACATTTTGAGAGATGCTCATAGTCTCCTGGAACTAGTTGACCAAGGAGTGTAAGGAGCAGAAACTGTCCTTTATGTCCCTTTGACCAGGTTATTATAGGCCTCAAAGTATGTCTGTTAAACATCCAAGAAGGTTAGTTCTACCAGTCTGGTACTTTTAATTACTGTGTGTCATGTAGATAAATCTTGGGCAAAGACCAATTGTTTTCAGATAAACCTTACCTAGACATACGTATATTTTTTTTATATATCGTTACGTGAAATATTATTATGGTGCATTTGACAGTACTCTTTCAGATATACTCTTCTTAATGATCTGAGAAAGGGCGAATATGCTTTCTTCAGGGACAGGCTGCCTCATAGGTGATCCAATTCCATCTGGTCAGCTTTAAGTCTATATGTACACTACTAAGTGGACACACACACACACACACACACAAATGAAAGAGTAATAATTAAAGAAGAGGTCACAAAATTCAGAAGGAGTAAGAGGGATGTTGGAACAGTTGGGGGGGAAGAGGGAGGGACAAAAGTCATGTCAATATCTACTCATCTATGAAATTCTCAAAAAAATAAAATCACAGTAGGTATTAAAATATTTAGTACGTGAGAATTATTGATAGGCAGAAACCATAAGTTTATATTCAGAGACCATGAAATAACAAATATGGTAAATAAATAACTTACCATTAACAGTGTGAACATGTAAAAATAGGAGTATCTCTGAGAGGGAGAGACCCTCAAGACATTATCAGGAGCACCTCATTAGATATAGGTGAAGGAGGACACAGACCTGAAATCATGCCTAGTTACCTACTATCTTTATACTAGAGTACCTGAGAAGGAAAACTAAAAGTTCTCATACTCAGAAAGTCATGAGAAAATCATTTTTCCTTCTCTCACATGTAACACAAAGCAAAAGAAAACTCCTGTGGAGACTGGGCTTCCCAAAGTTATGCCAAGCAAATGTACAGTGTAAAGTTATAACATTAAGCTTTACAAATTGACTTTCAGTCTTACCAAAAAGCTATCATAGTCTTTCATTTTAAAAATGTTAGCTGATAAGGGTATTGAATGGATCTATTTTTAGCTAAAATTATGAAAATAATTTTATTTTTAAAGCAATACATATGAAATTTTATTTACATTTATTATTTAAATGAACATAGAATAGTATAGAACTTGGTAATTCTTAATCCTCTGACTTTTTAGGTATCTTTTTTTAACCATGTAATAGAATTTATTTGATTAAAACAATCAAGCATTCTGTTAAAAGTGAGGTTGCCAGTGTCAGAAAAAGAAACATAGTTTGGTTTTGTGAGATAAGGTCTTGCTATGTAGCACTGGCTGGCCTGGAACTCAATATTTATTACAGGTTGGTCTCATATTTACAGAGATCCACATACCTATGCCTTCTGAATACTAGATTTAAAGGAGTGTCCCACCATGTCTGGCTATTAGAAAAATTTTCATAAGTAGTCTTTACTTCTTCTAAACATATATTCATCATACTGCACACAATTAATACAAAGAGCATTAATTTCTTGATTACATAGTACATGCTACTGCTTTTGTATCTTCACTTCCCAAAATGCATTTCACTCTATTAAAACTTATAGTTGAGAGCACATAGGCTTTGAAATAAGATGTTATAGATCTACTAGAATTAATACTTTAAAAATAACATGTCATCCTCATGGCTGTCTTTACCCTGCTTAACACCAATGCTTCAGCCAGCCCCCACTCTCCCTAATACCATGTTCTAGAGATTTTATTTCAAGGAAAAAATCAGATCCATAAGACAACTGCTAGAGCATTGGAGTAATAAAAAAATTCTACTCAGGTGCATTCTCTAGGTACCCCACAGCTGACTTTCATATCTCTTGACAGCTTGTACCTGCAGCTAAGCCTGTGCTAACTCATAATATTACTCTACAGGAAAGAAAAACAGAGGACCAGATAA